GATCGAGGGGGGGAAAGACCAAAATAGTTTCTGACAGTGATTTCAGGCTATGGGAGTAGGATGAAACTGAAGGGTGACACACACGCATACCCTGGGTCGGTTGTATGTGATTTCCCCCATGGCAGCTTCAGTTGGCTACACTTAACCCACCTACCATATCCACATGAACCAAGGTTGGCTGTGAAGTGCTTTTAAAATCTGGTTCTAGACCTTGGTTAAGAGCAAGCCCTGCTTCACCTTATCCATGGTTAGCACGGCATGATGGCCAACCATAGCTAAGGCCAGTGGTGGCTGATGCCTGACAGAAATGGAAGGGCAGAAAGCAGGGAGCCACACAGTGGGCGGAGCCAGAGTTAACAGTAGGTGGAGCCAGAGCCAGAAGAAGGAGGAGCCAGCTCACTCTAGTTTTGCCCCCTCCCCTCCATCCTTCTGTTCCCTGCTGAGGTCCAAAGAATCAGCACAAAGGCAGAGAAGGGAGCTGGCAGGCAGGGGCCCCTGCCACCCACTGCTAGACTGGATGGGAGAAAGAAGACAGGCAGGCAGGGGCCGGTGGACAGGCTGAGGTTGGCAGGGCAGCCCCCCAGTCTGGCTATGGGAAAAGTGGGCGGGGTGGGTGGAAGAAGTGAAGTCATCTGTGGTTAAGGAAAGGGCAATCATAATCAGTCTCTGGCTTCCTGCCTGCTTATATTGAAACTCGTCTTGAGTTTGTGGTCAAATTGCAAGAGTTAAAAATAAAGCAAAAATGTCATCATGTTGGGCTTTTCTTAAAAAGTTAAAAAGCTGCCATGCTTCAGTTTTTTTAAAAAAACACCATTTTTTATTCCGTTTTACATCATTTTTAACATAACCACAACTAACAATATAATCACAAAATAAATTTATTTTGTGATTTATTTTGTGCCATGCTTCAGTTTATCGGAAGCTACTTTGTACAGTCAAACCTCGGCTCCCAAACGCCTCCGTTTTGGAACGTTTCGACTCCCGAATGCTGAAAACTCAGAAGTAAACGCTCCACTTTTTGAACGTTTTTTGGAAGCCGAACATCCGACGCGGCTTCCACTTGAGTGCAGGAAGCTCCTGCAACCAATCAGAAGCTGTGCCTCGGTTGTCGAACATTTCGGAAGCCAAACAGGCTTCCAGAATGGATTAAGTTCAACAACCGAGGTTTGACTACCAGGCCAGGCTTTGTGTCTGTTGAACCCAGTCAGGTGGGCTCTGTCTGGTAGCCCTTCTCTAGGGTCTCTCAGGGTCTTTCCCCTGCCCACCCTCAACTTGAGCCCCCCCCCTTTTCACTGATGGGACCCTAGAGCCAGCGGCGTAGCGTGGGTTGTCAGCACCCAGGGCAAGGCAAGTAATTTGCGCCCCCTAACCCGTGGATTTGCGCCCCCTAACCCGTGGATTTGCCCTAACCCCAGATGTTGCGCCCAGTGCGGCCGGCCCCTCCTGCACCCCCCACGCTACGCCACTGCCTAGAGCTGAGCCAGGGTCCCTTTCCACTCTTTCCCTGGGGTTCCCACCCATGGCATCAAATGGACCTCCATCTATTTAGCAGTGGTAATTTTCTGTTTTCGTAGAGGTCTTTTTGGTAACTTTCTCTCTCTCTCTCTTTGTGTCTAGCAGGCAGAGGAGGAAATCTTTGAGAGGTGAGTGAAGACATCTTTGATTCCTACTTCTACCTCCCCCCACCTCAAAAAAAGCAATAAACAGGAGCATAGGAACATGGCAACAGGCCTGAGGAGCCTGACCAAGGGGGCTTCATCCAGTCTCAACAAAATATTAACATCACAATAAAACGTCAACCATTAAAAACTTCCCTGTACGGGAGTACCTTCAGATGCCTTCTAAAATTCATATAGTTATTTATCTTATTGACATCTGATGGGAAGGCATTCTGCTGGGCAGACACCACTACCGAGAAGGCCCTTTGCCTGGTTTCCTGTAACTGGCCTTTTATTTCTACTCTCTGCTTCTTGTTCTTTAACTAACTGCCAAGATGTAAGATCTGTCCTCCTGTTTCAGGACAGCCATTTGCTCAGGCCCCTCTGGTGGTTTTGATACCGTTCTCTAGATTCCCACCGACACTCTGAAATAACTCTAAAGGGGAGTCAGACACGACTTACTTGTGCAGAAGCCATGCTGATTTACCTTCAGCAAGACCTGTTCTTCCCTATGCTTCCTAATGCTTCCGCTGATGATGATACCTAACTGGTATCAACTGGCCTGCACTTTTTTGGATATCTTTAAAAGAAATGTTTTATATTGTTAGGCTCAACAGCAGTTTCACACTCTGAGTTGTTGAAGAACTCTTCAGATGGAATCTGTCTAGATTGAATGATTTATTTGTTTTTAATTTGTCTAGGATGTCCTCCCTTGCATCTCTCTGCCTTTCTGCTATCTCAATATCCTCCTCTGCCAGCCCTTTAATTCCCTTCCTACCCAGTGGGTCAACTGCCTCCCTAGTGGGCTTTCTGCTTCTGATGTGTTTTTCTAAAATGCTGTAAATGTATTTTGTGCTATTAAAAGCACATTCCTCATTGCCTCCTTCCAGTGTGTGTGTGTGCAAGTTTGTGTTTCTTTCTGTTCTACTCCTTTGGGCAAGGCTTTTGTCCACAGGCCTGGTGGGAAAGCTATTGTTTGCCTCCTTTCTGTTCTTATTTTTATCATGTGTTTTGTGTTTTTTATATTGTAATTATATGTTGTGAACCGCCCTGAGATCTACGGGTAGAAGGCGGTCTACAAATTTAATAAAAAAAAATAAATACAGTGGTACCTCGGGTTAAGTACTTAATTTGTTCCGAAGGTCCGTTCTTAGCCTGAAACTGTTCTTAACCTGAAGCACCACTTTAGCTAATGGGGTCTCCTGCTGCTGCTGTGCCGCCGGAGCACGATTTCTGTTCTCATCCTGAAGCAAAGTTCTTAACCCGAGGTACCATTTCTGGGTTAGCGGAGTCTGTAACCTGAAGTGTATATAACCCAAGGTACCACTGTACCCTAAAGAGCTAAGGATACTGATATATATTGTACGTAACAGTGTATTTTACTGGGAATGAATTGAAAAGTGGTACGTTAAAACTGACCCCAGTTGCTTCTGTTGTGTTGGTTTAGGACAGAGGAAGCTGAAGGAATCCTGAAGCCCCAGGAGTCAGAAAAGCTGGACTTTAACCCATGGTGCCTCCAGAGTCCATTAGTGAGCCGGCTATGGGCCTTAGCTGTTCTCTGTCGGGCCTCAGGTCAGTGTCTTTTCCTTGTGGGGTAGAGGTCATTATCCAGGCCACCTCCACCTGCCTTCCAGGTTTGCTTTTGCTGCCTTTCAGTCGGCTATGTTCTCAACACCTTTCTGTCGAGTGTGTGGTGACCGGTTTGTTTCTCCACCCAGAACAGATGAAGTCCACGTGGATGAGAAAACAGTCAGCCCCCTCTTGCAGCTCTCGGAGGACAAGAGAACGCTGACCTTCAGCCCCAAGAAAAACAGCAGGCCCGACCCCGGTGGCCCGGCACGGTTTGACCACTGGCCCAACGCCTTGGCCGAAGAATCGTTCTGTTCGGGGGTCCATGCCTGGAGAGTCCGGGTGGCCAAAAGTGGTGCTTACAAGCTGGGCATCTCCTATGGCTCCCTGGAGCGCAAGGGGGCTGGGCCCGAAGCCCGCCTGGGTTGCAACGCTTCCTCCTGGGTTTTCTCCCGCTACGGCACCGAGTTCCAGTTTTCCCACAACGGTCGACACCAGGCAGTGGAGATGCTCAAGTGCCCAGCTGAGATTGGAGTCTTGGTGGACTTGGATGCTGGAGAGGTGCTGTTTTTTGACCCGGATTCCTGCACTATTCTGCACATGCACCACGAAGCCTTCGCTGGCCCCATCTACCCAGCCTTGGCCGTGGCAGATCAGAGCCTCTCTCTGATGTGAGGAGAGTCAACACTGCAAGGTTGCAGTCATCTTCACCAAGGTTGTTGTTTCCTAAAGCTGAGCGGGGCTGGATCACCTTATATTCCAGCAAGATGAGCACTGTGGTTCTGGCAGGACGATGCCAACTTGTGCCAGCAAGCGAGAGGGCTTTGCTCTGGGACAACTCACGGGCTGTCTCTGGCTCTGCATTCAGAGCAGATGGGAGCTGCACTTTGCAGCTAAGTATCTTACCAGAGGAGGCCATGAAGGAGTCAGTGACAGGGGCTGAAAGGCTTGGCTTGGGAGGAACATTCCACCTGCTCCAAGATGGCCATTCTCACTGTTATTTAGCCTTAGCACTGTGCCACCACAAATCCAGTCAGAAAAGACAATTGTACTGTACTAGTCCCTGAGGGGAAAGGGACAGCGCCGGCGATTAAAAAAACTTATCTGACTAGGAAAAGAGGATTCTGCAACTTGTGCAAATTACACAATGGGTGGAGCATGTTGCTGCTTTTTTGTCATCACCGAATGTTATAATTATGAATGTAAAGCTACTGTTTAAATACTAGAATTGTAAATTTAAAGCTGCATAATTTAAAGCTACTGTTTTGCACATTCCCCCCCCCCCCATTTTTGCTGGGAACCTCAGTCCAGTTTGCTAAGAATCTCATTCAGTCTTCCTCCAACTGACACCAGCACGTTCCGTGATTTTGGCAACCCCGTTCTCTTCCCACATACTTTCTAGCATACCTTTGTGCCCATGAGGGGTAGAAACTTGTTTTTCTTCTTAAAATGTGTTATTCTCAGGAAGCTGAACCATGCAGAATGTTGCATAGGATTCTTGTTTTTCTGTCAGACTGTGGCAAACACACAGCACGGGACAATAAAATGGGAGATCCTAGAATACTGTAATAGAAGGGTAGAATTTGAAAGGGACCCAATGGTCATCTAGTCCAACCCCCAGCAATACAAGAATCACAACTAAAGCATCCGTCAGTCTTTCTCTACTGCATCACATAACAGAAATAGGCTGCCTTTTAAAAAGCACCCAGGCCTCCAGGTTCACATTTCATTTGTTCCCAAGCCTATATAACAGGGGCACAAGGATATGCATTCTAACAGCCTTTTTATTTATTTTTAAAAGGCACATACAAACAAAAGTATATAGATAAACAACCAAATACTTTAGGCATTTAAGCCAGGGACGTTTTATTTTCTGTTTGTTATGAAATTGTGCTAAATAATTTAAGCTCAAATTTTTAAACTTGGGAGAGGTCCACTTTTGGGCCACAAACTGACTCAAAAGTAATTACATGCATAAATAACTCATGGGTATCAGGGGGCGGGCCCAGGATCTTTCTCCCCAATCCTGCTACCTCCTTTCTTTTTATTTATTTTAAAAATTAAATTAGATTATTAATTTAATTATTACTATTTTTAATGTAGAAGAACATAAAATGTTTCCTCCCTCTCTCACCTTCCACCTGAAGTGCTACAGTCTAGGAGGGACACCAGGTGTGATTTAGCTGAACCCGGACAAAACTCCTCCTCTTAGCCCTTCTCTATAAGGGACGGGAGGTGCATCAGTGATGGTAGGATGTGGGCATTGGGCACTTCCGCATCCTTCTCGAGAGGCTGGCAACCTGATTTATACAGAAAACTGTGCATCCCTGCCTCTCTCGCTGCCTTGTAGTCGTTCACGTAGTCGTCCCCCACGTGAGCTGCCAGCTGAGGAGACACCCCTGCGATGCGGAGCGCCTCCAGGAAAATCCGCTTGTCCGGCTTGGCAAACCCCACTTCTTCCGAGGTCAGGACAAAGTCGAAGTGCTGGCGGAGGCCGCAGCGGGTCAGCACTTCCTGCAGCCTCTGGTCAAAGTTGGAGATGACGGCCATGGGGACCCCCATTCTCTGGCACTGCTTTAGAGTGTCCCTGGCACCCGGGAGCAACTCCCAGTTGCGGGCGCTGCTGTAATCCCGATAGAGTTTTCTCCGCAATGGGCCGGACAACCTCCTTGCCGTGGATACCGGAGAGCCGGAATGTCTCCATGACAACATCCATCCACCACTGCTTGGAGCTGAGGCCTCTGTCTGAGCCATAGTTGGGGAAATGCAGGCTTTGGGCCCTGTAGGCTTGGCGGAAAGACTGGGTGAGGGCTTCGGCCTGCACCTGGACGCCACAGGCCCGGGCCTCAGCAGAGTAGCTCTCGCCCACGGGGACACGGAGGCGAAGGAGGGTGTCCTTCACGTCCCACGTCAAGAGCCGAAGCTTCAGCATGCTGTCAGCGCTAGCCTAGAAAGAGAGGGGAACGAGAGAGGGGAACTAGGCGTCAACACATCTTATCACGGGCAAAATCTTGACTGGCGCAGTTTGGTTTATGACCTCCCAACGCAAGCAAGGTCTCGAGAGGGAAACCCAGCAGCCTCCAGCCAGCATGACCTTGCAAGCTCTGTCCTGGCAGGTCTGCAAACTGGTTTCTGTCTCCAAGCTCTGGCAGAGAAGGCCCTTCTTCCGGCAGGAAAATCTTGTCATCTGCCAATCCGGCTGCCCTGCAAGGGGGACTTTCACTTGGAGGGGTGGACTTGCTGCCCGGACGTCCAAGGCCGGAGAATGAAAATGAAAGCGGCTACCTTTGACCAGCGTGCTTTCAGGAGGCAGAATTAGCAACAGGTTAATGACTAATCCCGGACGGCCGCAGATGATTTACTGTAAAGCAGCGGCTGAAGGAGGGAGACTTTTGAGTGCTTTCAACTGTTTTCATTGCGCTTTTCTGCAAAAGCTTCCAACATGGCCCACGCTTAAAAAAGAAATAAATCACCATCTGATGAAACACTAATGAAGTTACAAAAGCCTGAAACAATGAAAGCAGAGAGGGCAGGAACATAACTTTGGCTGCGTACCCTGATCAGACCTTTACGAGGAGTATCTGAAATACACTCTTCAAGAAATGGCCAGGCAGGGTGAGGTGGGGAGTGGGAGAGACCCACCTAAAATCCAGCACGTTCTCAGCCTGAGAATGTGCTTTTGGTGCCAGAATCGAGCTCACAAGCCTTTCACACAAAAATGCACTCCTAGATTTGGCCAGCAGCTGGACAGGAGTGGGGGGTGGGGGGGAAGGATACTTGATATTTGCAAGGTTGAAAAAATGAGTTCAGGTGTGTGTCCAGAAACCCATAATTGCAGATCCGCTGCCAAACAAAACTCTACCAGCAGATCCCTTTCTTTTTTCTGCTGCCCATTTCCCCTGCTTTAAGAGACTCACACACACAACCTGCCCCCCCCCCCCCGTTGCCTGGTGCCCGACTGCCCCTCTTCCTGCTTGTGAGGCAGCAGGAGTAGAAAAAGGCAGCCAAACCAGTTGGGCAGGAAGGTGAGAGGCAGATGGGGCACAGCAGAGGTGGAACTGGGTGTGGGCATGGCTTGGCTGGCCTTCCAACATGAACACAAAGGGTGATGTTGCACAAGGAACCACCCAGGCCAGCTCCCCTCACCCTCTGGGCACTGCCAGGATCCCTTTCAGGTTTTACCCTTCCCGTGGCGGGGGTGGGGGTGCAGGATAAGAAGTCATTGGCCACCCTGGCTGGGGGCGGAGTGGGCAGTTGGTTTCATGCCTGCCACCCTTCACTGGAGACCTCAAAGCAGAAGGTGCTGGCTGGGGTCATTTAGCTCTCTGGCTTTGCTCTTGGAGTGGATAATTCTCTCTCCACCCTTATCTAGGATTAAAGGGCATTATCTGGAATGCTTGTTATATTCTGCTTCAGAGCCCCAAGAGGCTCTCAAAGCGGCTTACAAAGCTTTTCAACATGTAACGTGCTCTCAGCACCTCACAGCATCCATCCATCTGGATGGGCAGGATGAGTTAGTGGCTAGGCAAGAGGGGCATTCCTGCTCTTACCTCTCCTGGGTATCACACCAGGAAACAACCTCCCTTGGAGGGGATGGGGTGGGCAGGTAGGGGGGGATGAAGGAGGCACTGCTGGGGTGGGGAGAGGAGGAGGATGTTGACAGGATCCCCTTCCTGGCAGAGAGTACCAGGGAGTGGCACTGGGAAATGCCTGCCCTCCCTGCTGCCCGTTGTGCCACCTGCCTGGTGTTTGCTGTGGTCTGAGTGCAGTGGTGAGCTGGTAGGTGTGTTGCCTGCTCCAAACAGGGTTGCGCTCCTCCCTCCAAAGGCACAGGTGCGTAGCCTGGGGGGGGGGGGTTCCTGGGTCCACCCTTTGCCACTAGAGGCCCAGGTGGCTATGAGCGCCTTTGGGCCAGCTGTGGTTGGCAAGGCAGCTGCAGCTGTTCCTGGACCAGGAAGAAGCCCTTGGCCTATGTCATGCCATCCTGGCACTCTGGAGAGGATTAATGCAATGAGCTCTGTGTGTGTGGACTGGGGGGGGGGGCACTTCCCTTGAACTTAACCCAGAAGGTGCAGCTGGTGAACACTGCAGCATCTGGGTGCAGCCTGGGGCACCATGTAACTTCTCTGCCAGGCAAGCTGCACTGGCTGCCCATTCTAATTTTGCTTTTAGAGCCCTAAACAACTTGGGACTCGTTTACCCCCCCCCCCCCGCGCAATATATCCGAGAGAGTAACTTCACTCCTCAAGAGGCCATTCCTAAGAGGGAGCATTTGGGACTCTGCCAGTTGCTGGGAACCACAGCCTTGCTCTAGTGCCGAGGTCCTGCTTGCTCGAGTCCCACATCTGGTTGGCCGCTGTGAAAGCAGGGTACTGGACTAAATGGGCCATCGGCCTGATCCAGCAATATCCTCTGTTGTCCTTATGGGGTGCGATGCACCAGAGACCAGCCTCTTCTCCAGGTCTCAGCTGCAACCAGACGAGAACCGAGTGTTTTGGAGGTCGGAGACATTAAATACAGTCTTCTCCAAAACTGTGATCCAGCTATTTTCCAAAATAATAACTACAGTTGTCCTCATTGTCTTTGGTTTACAGTGCTTATAAACTTTTGGATTTTATATTTCATCTTATTTTACTGCACGCTACTTTGGCTATTTATTTCCAGGCTTTGAAGCTGCTTTGCAATTAAAAAAAACAGAGAGGGGAGGGGCCGTGGCCCAGCGTAGCCCTAACTGCTCCCCACACCCAACTTCCTTGCATGGGGCTCTGGTTGCGCGTGTTGGTGGCCGGAGAGGCGCTCCCGGAGTCGTGCAGAGCTCAGGCGGGGCAGGGGTGGGGGCAGGGGAGGAAGGGAAGACAGCGGCCACCTTACCTCTTCTCCGTAGCTTCACCTGGACTGAGTGCGCAAGCGCAACTCAGGGGGAATGCGCGTGCTCAGTAAATGCCTACCGAAGCTATTTACTTTGCCCGCTTTCTGGGCGCTGCACTGGTTGCAGCAGCAGCAGCAGGACGGGCGGTGAAGGTCTTTTACAGCCGCTCCGCCCCCGGCCACCGCTTTGTGAATGAAGACTTGGCTCTGGAAAATTGCTTTTGAAAGACGAGCCTGAAGCTGGAGCAGAGGTTTGTTAAAGTGCAGTAGCGAGGCAGCCAGAAATTCAACAGGTGCAGCTCCTCCCCAACACACACTTTGGAGTGCCTCGTGTCACGCAGCTGCCAAAACCATATTTCATTTTATTTTTAAAAAATCAGTTTCCAGAGAATGTAAACAAAGTAACTTGAATACTTATTTCATGCCCAGAACCTGTCAAGTAATTGAGACTGTGGGTTCCCCTGAGGAAGTGCAGAGTTGCATTTCCCCTCTTCTGCAGCATACAGTGCCTGTGCAGCAGGAGAGGATGGCAAGTGTGGCAGGAAGATTCAAGAACAATCAAGGAAACATTTCAGTGCAGTGTAGTATCAAAATGCTTTATTTGCAGAATACTGTTTGGATTTCCCCCCCAAAATCAAGCACAGCTAGGCGTTCTTTCTGTTTTCCGACGTATGTCTTATCAATACAAAATTGGGTATGGTGCAAGCAAATTTTTATTCTGAAAGTGTGGCCCAGATAAAGTTCGAGAACAACTGCTTTAAGGACTGTCATGTCATGTGAACATGTGAATGTGGTTTATGCCAGTGACCATTATGCCCCTGGCTCAGCCTCTTTTGCCATTCAAAATAGATTTTTTAAAACATTAAAAACCCTCCTTCAAATTTGCTAAGTTCTGATGTAGAGCACTGGTGGGTGTGGGGAGTGGCAGGATTCCACACTGATATGTTATACCCCCCCCCCAAATCCCAATGGCAACAGGGTCCTCCTGCCTTCAGATTCTCTCTGCAGTGAGGCTCTATGGCTTGCTCAGCACTTGAAAGCTGGCAGGGCACAAACTTGTGTTTATCATCCAAGGCGGCCTTCTTAGAAACTGCTGCTGGGGTCGTCCTGCCTGAACATCCTTCTAGTTTCCCCCATGCCATTACTACCTTGCTTTATATCAAACCAATTTCATGCCAGCCGCCTTGTACACTCTCTCTACAACACAGACCACAGAGAGAGGGAAGGCAAGGGCTAACATGGCTGAAACACATTCAACACATACTTGCACACTGAAGGGGACATTCCTTTTAAAAACACCAGCTTGGCAGCACTTCCTGCTTGTTCCCCCTCAACCCCCTTTCTTCTGTAGCCTATGTATTTTGTTCTAATATTCCCCCCCTCCACCACCAAGTAACCATTTCTTTCCAGGAAACATCAGAAAGTTTATTTATGCTCCAAGAGGTGTACTGATGATTACTTCCCAGCTTCACGGGCCAAAATCAGGAGGGTTGCCATGCATGTCAGCAGGTCTGGCTCCTGGGCTGATAAAAGCAGCAAGACGTGGGCGATGGAGAGGAGAAGCATTCAGTCGGGAAGTGGCACAGCCTCCTGTTATGCCAAAGCACAGGAGGAGGTCAGGGGTTTCCGCCCCACTCTTCCCGAGCAGCTAGGGACCGTCACCTGTGCAAATCAGGAGAGGGCAGAGACTGCAAACCAGGCTCCCTTCTTGTTTTGCTTTTTTTCCTGGTGGGGCTCCTGCACCCTAAAGAGCTCCACAAGGTATAGGCATGTTGCTATTTCCAGAATGGGAAGGAAGCACACAGGTAAAGATTTGCCTGTGAATTTCACCTGCCTTGCATCAAGTTAAAGAAGGTGCCATCTTGGTTGAGAGTCCCAGAGGATCTGCGCTCTCTGTTGCCTTGCTGCCTGTCTCCATCTGGCCCAGGAGTGTGGCGGTCCTGACTGACTCCAGCTACAAAAGCTGAGGCTGCTGGGAAGGTGTGGGTATGCATCATGGCTTTTGGGTGAGGCTTGGGGAGTAGTAGCTGGTTCTTGACCCCAATTACAGCTGTGGGACGGCATGACAACACCCCTAGCCCATGGCATTAATGTGGAGAAGCAGCTGGGACAGTGTCCCGGGGTCCTTGCAGCACCAACAAGCATCCCCCTCTGCCCCATTGCCTCACAGAGCTCCAGGGCACCTCTTTGGGGGATCTTTCACCAAAGCGTTCTTTCCCAAGCCGTAAATCACTTTACTGAATATCTAACTTGATTTAGGTTCAACTATTCCTTTCTCGCAACATTTTTTAAAAAAACATCGCATATATTTAAAAAGGCGTCTTGGTTGAGAATTAAAAGAAATCCTAGCTCCGGGCCTGGAATGCTAAGGGACCATGGAGTCTGTTCTTGGAGATGGGCACCCTTAGAGTAAAAGCATGTGAGGGGGGGTTGATACTATAATTGCCCCCCCCAACCATCTGCATGGTCCGTTCCACAACTTTCAAGACACTTCTGGGATTCTTATTCCGGCCATCTTTGTTCCCAGGAAAGCGATGGCTCAGGCCTGTTCTTCCTTCAGCCACTGGAGCAGCTGAGGCACGTAGTAGGTGATGATGATATCAGCCCCTGGAAAGAGAATAGTTTCCTTCTTTAAAAAAAGGACCCCCAGTTTATTTGCAAATGCCTTCCCTCAATTTATTCTGCTTGCCTCCCAAAGGTCTGAGGGCAGCCCCTCTTAATTCATCTGCTTTCAGTCTTTTTCATCGCTTCTCTCCATCCCCCTCCTGCTGCTTGTGGAAATCCAATGAAGCTGAAAGTTGGAAGACTGGGGACAGATAAGAGAAAGCGCTTCATAGCGCAAGGCAGGGCTAAACTCTGGAACGCGCTCCCCCAGGAGCCAGCAATGGCCACCAAATTGGGTGGCTTTAAGAGAGGATCAGAAAAGTTGTGGAGGAGAAGGCGATCTATCAGTGGCTAGTAGCCACAATGCCTATGCTCTGCTAGAAACCACAGGAGGAGAGAGTGGCTGCTGTGCTTGGGTCCTGCTCGCGGGTTTCCCATCAGCAACTATTTGCAGAATACTGTATGAATTTCTCCCCCTCAAGCTTATAAATTCAGAGCATTTGTGGATGATGTTGTTTTGCTTTCGGAAAATCCGATGGAGAACCCATTTTCTCCACTTGCTCCTGAAGGGGCTCTGTGGCACCAGGGAGCACCAAGTGACTGGAGGTGGCTGTGCGTCGCTCCAGGGTCAGGGGCAGCATGTGTACGAGTCCCACCTGCTGCAGGGACGGTCCCACGAGGGGCAAAATTGCTGCTGCACAGGCCATGTTGTGCTTGTGGGTGTCCCACCGAGCAGGCATGTGGTTGGATCAAGGATGAACCTTTGGCCTGATTCAGCTGCAGGGCCCTTCCTATTGTCAGTTTTGCATTTTGTGGTACAGAAAGTATTGGTTTACAGTGTAGAGATCTTTCCTATTCCAATTGATTCAAGAGGGTTCTACAAGCTTCTCTGTGTGATACAAGCTGGAAGTTTCTAGCTAACAAGCAAGCTTCTATTCTGCCTACAAACGGGAAGAAGGTTCCTGATGTTTGGGTTATTTCTTCAGAGAAGCTGAGCAGCTGGTTTAAACTGGTTCTGTTAACTCTTTCACTCAAGGTCATGCTGAGTATAATAATAAGGCCAGAAGGAGTCTGGGTTTCATTTTCTGTCTCTCTTTCCTTCTGGTATGGTGTTCTGTATATAGTATGCTAAGTATTAAGGTCTTATTGTATGTTTAAGTTAAGTCTGCTGCAACTGGATTTCTTATGGACTGCGCTGAAGATGTATGGATTTGTAACTATTATGCTCATTTGCCTTCAGTAGTAAACTCTGCTGGATGAAGTTTATTGACTCTGAGTTATTTGGAATCCTGCAACGTGTTTAAAGTTTTTACTCTGCTTACTGTACGTTGCTGTCTGCTCTGGATCAATATGGAGCAGAATCAATGGAACCCATCTGCCCAGCATTCCTGATTTCAGTACGTACTGTAACCCTATCTGATGGAAAGCGCTTAAGGGCATCCCATGGAAGGTTTCGAGACCTGGGAGGGAGGCCAGGGAAAGTACCCCTTTTGCCACAGGCGATGTCTTTCCCTGTGACACGGCAGCCCCCTCCACACACACCCATTTCCCTTCCTCTCTCACCTGCTCTTCTGAATGCAGCCATGGCCTCCATCACCACAGCCTTCAGGTCAAAGGCCCCAGCTTGCGCTCCGTGCCACAACATGGCAAACTCTCCAGAGACGTGGTAGACGGCCAGCGGGTGGTTGGGATGCTGTAAAGACACAGGTGCACATCAGCTGAGACAGATGCCTTTCCCCTTTGCTCAGCCAAGATGCTGCCAAGGCCCACCCAGTGGGGGTGGGTGTCTCCCCTCCCACCCATTCCGGGGAGCAGGGAGCTTACCTTTCCCTTCACCTCCCGCACGAGATCAAGGTAAGGCATTCCTGGCTTGACCATCAGCATGTCTGCTCCCTCCCGCACGTCTCGGTCCTGGCAGGGGATGGCCATATACAGAGAAAAAGCACACAGCAGAGGGAGTTGGAAAGGGTTCAGAAAAGGGAAACCGAAATGATCGAGGGGTCGAGCAATTGCAATGTTGGGGACTTCTGAGTTTCGAGCAAAGGCAAGGAAGAGGCAGCATGACAGAATTTTACAAAACTGTACCTGGCATGGGAAAAGCTTTTGAGTTTCCAAATAAGGCAGTTTCCTCCCCATCCCCCGGATGCTTAATATTACATTTAGGATTCGAATATGTTGAATTGGAAAGTACGCTTATTTGGCTACATTTCAAGGATACCGATCTAGCTCATTCCTATATGCTCACGGTTCATTCCAGCCCTGCATACAAACTAAACATTTAAATCACATGGCTTTAAGGTGGATAGACAAGCTGGAGAATGTGAAGAGGAGGGCAACCAAAATGAACAAGGGTCTGGAAACCAAGCCTATTGAGGGATGGTGGCGATGTTTAGCCTGGTAAAGAGGAGTCTGAGAAGAGATACGAGAGCCACCTTCAAATATCTGAAGGGTCATCGCATGGAAAATGGAGCTAGCTTGTTTTCTGCTGCCCCAGAAGGTAGGGCCTGAACCAATGGGTTCAAATGACAAAAAGGGAGTGTCTGATGGAGAAAAAACAGAGCCGTTTAACAGCTGAATGGACAGCCTTGGAAGGTGGTGGACTCTCCTTCACAGGTGGTTTTTATGCACAGGTTGGATGGCCATCTGCATTGCAGGGGGTTGAATGAGATGGTACCAGTTCCTGGAAACCACAGTGAGGGGACAGGGCTCTTGTGCTCAGATCCTGCTTGCAGGTTTTCGCACAGGTACCTGGTTGGTCCCTGTGAGAACAGGGTGCTGGGGTACAGGGCCCACTGGCCTCATCCTGCAGGCTCTTCTTATGCTATGGCAGACAGGCATAAGGAGGGAGAATGGAGGCCTTGCTGGCAACTGCTTCAAACCAGGCCAGACCCTGGAGCCATCCGTGCGGGGGCTCTGACGCAGGCCAGCTTCAGGAGCTACAGTCCAAGGAGCTTTTTATTTGCTACCGTTTGATCACGGGGGTGGGAAAGAGGCCATGGGAGAAGAAAGCCAAGCCGCTGCCCTCCAAAGCGGATTCTGCACGCAGATCAAGCTGCCCAAGGGTGGCTTGCTCTGGCCGCCTTCCAGGCGCTCTCTGGGGGAACTTCGGTCGAACCTCGGACTTGGTAACAGCTCAAGAGTGCAGCCCACCACCGAGACAGGAGTCAGGGACAGGCCATTTCGGAGCCCGGCGAGAGTCTGGTTTTGCCGCAGCACCTCGAGGCGGGGTGGGGGTGGGCTGTTCCTGAGGAACTGGGGCAGGGCAAGGAGGAACGAAGGACGCGCAGAGAGGCCTGGAGGTCGCTGGAGCCAAGGTAGAGCCCCCTAAGCAGCAGGCTCAGCCTTAATCCCTGTTTCTCAGACGCACTAAATCCACTAAGAGGATCGCTGTGTTGAGTTGAAGGGAAGTCTGGGTTCATCCCACCAGCAGCCTCCTTCTCCTCTTCCACCCCCAGTACTGCCTTCCCCCTGGTGTTCACAGCTGGAAGCTAAGACGATACGAATCACAGAACTATAGAGCCTTTGGGGGGGGCCCAGAGGTTCATCTAGTCCAACCCCCTGAAATAAAGGAATCACAGCTAGTGATTTTGCACAGAATTGTACAGTGGGAAGTGGAAAGGACCCCAAAGGGTCCAATCCTGTGCAATGGCCACCCGACCTCTGCTTAAAAACTTCCAAGGAAGAAGCATCCGGCTCCTCCTGAGGGGGTCCGTTCCCTCTTTCAGGGAATGGGGGGGGGACTCACCACAGCCCTCAAGGCCAAGCCCCGCGACCCCGGAGGGAGCTGGTAACACCGCCGGTCTCCAAAAGCAGGCTTGGACTGGGCTGCATCTCTGTGCGGAACCAGAAAGGATAAAAAGGATCAAGCCTGTGAAATCACCCATGAGACCTCCAAGTAGTGACTGCGTGCAGCCCTTGGTCTACCAGATGTACACTGAAACACACCTCCCATTAGCCCCAGAAAGAATGGCCAAGGCCAGGGCGGGTGGGACTTGCTGCCCAGCAACACCTGCTGGGCCACAAACCCCTGCAATTCACCCTCCCCTCTCCTCCCAAGGGCTGATACAGAGTACATCGCCTCGCCTCAAAATGGATATTGGAGATCTGGAGAAGGCTTGAGAAAAGGGTCAGCCAAAACAATCAAGGGGATGAAGCGCCTCCCCTAAGAGGAAAGGCCGCAGCCTTGGGGACTTTTTAGTTTGAAGAAAAAACAGGAAAGAGGTGACATGGCAGAACTTTGCAAATCTAGGCCTGGTGTGGACAGAGGGAGGGTATTTCTCCCTCTCTTCTTGTGCTGGAACGGGTGGACATCCAGCAAAGCTGAACATTGGAAGATTCAGGACGGGAAAAGGAAAGTTCCATAGTTAATCTGTGGAACTCCCTCCCACAGGAGGCAGCCTGGGCCACCAACATGGATAGCTTTAAAAGAGGATTAGACAAATTCATGGAGGAGGAGGCTATTAATGGCTACTAGCTCAGGCTCCATAGCTGGAGGCAGCCATGCTTCTGAAGTTGCTGGAAACCATGGGTAGGGAATATGATGTCCTGGTGTTCAAATCCTGCCTGTGGGTTTCAGTCACTGTGAGAACAGGATGCTGGACTAGATGGGCCATTGGCCTGACCCAGCCTCACGGCTCTTCTCATTTTCTCACCTGAAGGGGCCGTAGAAGCAGGAAGCAAACTTGGCACTGTAGCTCAGGACGGAAACCTGCAGCCGACATGGAGGAAAGGTGAGAGGTTTGCTGTCTAAAGGGCTTTTTTTAAAAAAACCCACACAGGATCTCCTGCCCCCTGCCTGCCAGGCCCCTCACAATCTCTCCTGAGGGGGCACAGGGAGGGAATCACATCCATTCCCCTCCACCCTTAATCTGCGGCCCTGCAGGCCCATCGAGGTAAGTCGTTGCCATGGCAACCTCAGAGGGCCTCCAGTCGGCCTAGTACAGGCACCACGACCCTGGAGGGCTCTGTGAGAAGGTCTGCCAAGGGAGGGTGCGAGCTTGTCCCTGGCTCACCTTGTTGCCCAAGTCGTTGGAGACCAAGGCCTGCTTGATGGCGCCAATGCGCCCGTCCATCATGTCCGAGGGGGCCACGATATGACATCCTGGAGGAGGAAGATGGGTGGTGGCTCAGGGGGCTGAGGGTGGACCACTGCCAGGGATGGGCCGGCAAAGAGGAATGGTGGGAGGCACCAGCCTGGGAACCCCCAGAGGAGGAAGGCTCAGAGCCGGGGGTGGGACACGGAGAGACCTGTCTTCCAGTCTCACGTCCGTCTGGAGTGTCATTCCTGTGGCACCTGCACAGTGCCTTTGATGGGGCTCGGCAGCCAACTGTGCTCTCACCTGCCTTGGCATAGGCCAGAGCCACCTCAGCCAGCCTCTGGCAGCTGGTCTCGTTCTGGAGGGTGCCATCTTCCCGAAGAATGCCTGAAAGGGCAAGGGCAGCGGTCAAGATTCTGGGGGTCCAATTTCTCCATATTCCACCCCCTCAACACACACACACACACACACATACACATACACTGCCCCCCCAAATTCCACTGGCGTTCACAAGGACTCTTGGAAGCAAACACCAGAAGCAAACCAGGAAAACTTTGTTTCACCCATGTGTTGTTTAAAAAGTGTGCTGTAGTGACGTAATAGCAGCCATATTTCAAGAGAAATAAAAAGTGTGTGAGAGGAGGGGGGAGCCTTAGGAGCCTGAGGAGATGCAGGCCTTACATCCCTTGCTTCCCTTACATCCCACAAAAAAAACCTGGAGACCCGGATTTGGGAAACCCTAATTCAATGCAATACACATGGCAGAATTTGAGGGGCTCTCCCTCTGCCCTAGGCCCTATGACAAGAAGAGGGGGTACTGCTCCTGCTCCCCTCCAGCAGCACTTACCACAGTGCCCGTGGGAGGTGTAAGGGCACAGGCAGACGTCGCAGGCGATCAGCAGCTCAGGGAACAAGGCACGGATCGTGGCAATGGCCTGGATCACAGGGGTGTCCTTGGCATCGGCCGCAGATCCACGCTCGTCCTGCGGCGGGGAGGAGGGGAGGGGCAGGCAGGAGGAAGGTGGTGAAACTGCAGCCGGCAACATGGTAAGCGGGGCTGGAGCTCAGCAGCCAGGTGCAGGATTTGTGGATGGAGGCTAATCTAATTTAACATATGACTGAAACCGCCAGGGTGCCTCCACCCTCTTTACCCACCTTGACGGCTCGGCTTGGGACCCCAAAAATCAGAATGCACTTCAGGCCATCAGCCACAAGGGGACGCAGCATCTCCTCCAGCCTGTTGACCCCATAACTGTGGGGGGGAGGGGGCAGAGAGAGAGAGAGAGAGACCAAAGGAGGTTGATAAGCAAAGCAATAAGGTCACATAGGCACTGAGAAGCTGCTGCCCCCCACCCCCGCAGGGACCCCACGTCTCAGCAAATGGCATGGATCAAGCCCATTGCCTTAGTAAGGAAAGCGCGGCTGCTGGATCAGACCCAAGTGGCTCCCTCTAGTCCTCTGTCTGGTTCTCCCGTGGAGGCCCGGCAGCTGCCCAAACCCCATCCCCAAAAGCAGAGCCTGAGGGCAGAAGCCCCCTCCACCCCAGTTATTTGCCTCCACCACCTGGCAGTTTTAAGGTATGCTGCCTCTGGACGTGGATGCTCCACTTAGTTTTTATCAGGCATGTCAGGTCAACAGGTAAGAGCGCCCACTGCACCAGGGGGCAATCAGATGGGAAGCCTGGCAAGCAGGGCAGGATGGCATGCCTGGGCCCCTGTTCACTGCTCCCCGCTCCTCAGCCAGTGGCATCACTGGAACACAGCTCCTGAAGCTGCAAGTTGTGTCACGCAGTGATTGAAAGCCCCATGCATTCTCTCTTCTTCTTCTCTTCTTTTTGAAAATAGTTTGTATTAGGTTTTCAAGAAGATGAAACTGCCGAAGCAGAGAAGTTGTCTGTTGGCTTAGGCAGGCCGATTCCATTGCATTAGACTGCTGTGTTTTCCACCACTCAAGATACACAGAACCGCTATAGCAAATATCCTTTCCTCCTCAGGCCAGTGTCAGGTTTAGGGCAGTTCTCCACATAAGCCAAGGGGGCGCAAAACCACCACCATCAAAATAACAGTAATACCTGTGTTTATAAGGGGACTTACTGAGGAGAAACGCAACTCTACCAAAAGGAATTATTGCATGAAAATAAGAAAGGGAAGGGAGGGAAGGAAGGAACCATATTTTGTCCTCCCTCAGGGCACCAGATTACCAAAGTCCACCCCTGGTCAGACCAGCTGCTTCCCTTGGAGAAACTTTCTTAGGTCAAAGCCACAGCTCCACAGAGCAGCAAAGGCTCCCAAGCCATGAGAAGGCCGGGCCGGGCCCAGCACTCTGTCCCCCCAGCCCAACAAGTGAGCCGGGGCCTTGGGGTGGACCTTGTTATCTCTCATCTCCAAGTTGCAACTGCAACAAAAGAGCTTTTATCTCGGGAAGGCACGGTGGGGTGGAGGCAAGCATCAGCTTCTGGCTCTGCCCAACGGGAGCCCTTATCTCGTGGGGCCCAGAGAAGTCTGGGGCAAAGGCAGCTGGAAACATGAGCACATTCCTGCCCTTCCGCTGGAGTTTGAGCTGCATTGACTCAGGCAGGCAATATGGGGAAGAAAAAATGAATGGAGGTTTGTATACAGAAAGTGCCAACTTGAGTACCCCACCCCCAGGACCTCTATAATGGGGCTCTCAGGTAGGACCAAGGAGCTGCCTCCCCACCCGCTGCCCCCAGCTTCTCCCCAAGACCCTCTCAAGAATCGACAGTGCTGGGCCGGGCAGATCCAGGGTTGGCTCAGCGTAAGGCAGTTCCCTACATTTCGACGTGTTCACTCACCGGGCTTGACCAGGCAGGCTGGCAATGGGCTCCACGGCATCTGGGCTGTCCCTGAAAAAGTTAAACAGGGGAAGTGGGAGCTGGAGAGGATCGTGGCAGCGAGGTTGGCAGACCCAGCGCAGCCAGAGACAGGCTCAGCGCCAAGGGACATTCCTTTGCCGTCACCTGACAGTGCCACCATTGTGGGAACCCTGCAGCCCCCAGGAAAATAGAGGGCTGCCAACCACCCCCCAAACCAGGAATAGGAGGTTTTCTAGGTTGGGAGGCTTTGTGCCCCAAGAGAAGGCAGGGCTGCAGTTTGCCAAAGGCAGAATAGAAGAGAACCCCAGGGATCAGTCAGAACTGTGGCTAATAGCCAGGGATCAGGAAGGGACAAACTAAGCTGCTCCCCCTACCCCACCCTCCCATCACAAGCTCACAAGGCGGCTGTAGGCAAGCCGTGGTCCCTCAGCCCCTGACCACCCTACAAATATGGAGTTAAGGATACTGTCCTGCCCTGTGGGATGACCAAATGCTAAAATTAATAGTTATTATTATTATTATTACTTATTAAATTTGTATTGCCCGCAGATCTCAGGGCGGTTCACAACACCAAATTGCAACACGAAAATGCAAACTGCACGATAAAAATAAGAACAAAAGCAAACCAATAATCCCCTTCCCCACAACAGATTTAAAAAGGCATCGGATGCCCGTCAGCCAAAGGCCTGGTTAAAGAGGAACATTTTCGCCTGGTGCCTGAAGGTGTACCATGAAGGTGCCAGGTGGGAGTTGAGGACGTCAGAAAAGACCCAACTGGATCAGACCCAGCGGGGCCCAACTAACCCAAGCTGGACTCCCCAGTTAGGAAACGGCAGAGAAACTCACGTCACAAAGATGGGGTAGATGAGGTTGGCTGCGCGGAAGCTAGCGGCCGTCGCCTGCCACAAGCGGAGGGTGGGGTGAAAGTAGCCACTGTGCAAGAGGGACTCGGCCTGCATCTCGAGGTCTCGCCAGCCACTGAGCCACGGGAGGCAAGGGCTCTGGAAAGCAGAGAGGCAGAGGCAGTTTTAGAGGGGTGGCTTCTCATGCTGCTGGGGGTGCCACTGCCCAGACACCACAGAGGACTCTGGGAGATGCCCCTTATGCATGCCCAACTCCTGGTGCAAGTGACGGCCAGGCAAGGAAATGAGAGTAACATCAAGCAAGTGCAGAGCGCAACCCCACCCCACTGATCAGCCACAATTGGTCTGAGTATGCCTGGTACTGGGTGCATGGAAGGACAACTTAACTTACAAGGGAAATCTGAGGCCTGGCAGGGCACCTCTTTGTCTTGTAGGAGTCTACGCATCTGAATCCCAGCAGCTGGAAACTGCAGAAGGGGAGAGTGCAGCCCTTACACTCAGATCCCGCTTGTGGGTTTCCCATAATGAGCATATGGCCTGCCAAGTGTGAGAATAGGAGGCTGGACGAGTTGAGTCCCTTTGGGCCAGGCTCTTCTTATGGAACCGCTAGGTGTAGAGGCAGTCAATCTGGATCTACACCTGGTAGAACTGGATGCTGGACTAGGTGGGTCCTCTTGGATCTGATCCAAAGAGCCTCAGAGCTCTTCCTGTGTTCTCATGAAAGAGCATGCTTTAGGGATTAAAAACCTGCTCCCTTTACTTCGAAGGGGTATTTGGATTTTTGTAGGCGGTTCTGAAAACGAGGAAGACAATATCTCTCCTGGCACCCTGAAGCCTGGAAGAAGAGGCCGCTTAATAATCTCTCATCTGAGGGTGGCAAATTCCTCCGCAGCAAGATGAAACGGGTTGGGTGGTGCAATTGGCCCACACATGACATGAGGAGAGGCAGGTTGCCAGAGGCAAAAAGGCAGGCAGGGCTCTAATCCCGGTGGAGGAGGGCTCTGTTTTGGGCTTCAAGAGGCAGTTAAAGCCCAGAAAAGTTTATCAGGCCAAAAGTCCACGCAGCCCACCAGCCTCCTTTCCACACATCCGCCATCCAGGGGCTTCCAGAGAGCCCTAAGCAGGCCATAAAGGTAACAAGTACTGTACTGAGATAGACTGTCCCTGAGCATGTAAGTCTCACTGAGCGGTCAGGGTAGGTAACGGCAGATCTCCCCTCCTCTGTGCATTTCAAAGCCTCCTAAGGCAGTGGCTGTCACCAGGTATTGTGGCAAGGAGTTCTGTAAGCCACTATTGTGTTGCGTAAAAAAAAAAAGGCCTTCCTTTGGGTGCCTGGAACCAAGTCGGATCTGCTCGACCCTGAGCTTGAGCATCGCAAGAGAGCTGATCTCACGTTCACCAGCTCTCTGCAGAAAAAGTTATAAAGGGAACCAGCCCAGGGGGTTCAAACCCCCGTCCCATCCTGCCTGCTGACAACCTTGGGGGTCCAGTCACCTTCTCTGAGCCTAACTCACAATTTAATGAAGACTAGGACTTGGGAGTGACCTGAGTTCAGATCCTGCTCCCTCGTCCCAAAAACCAGTCCTTAAGCTCCCTAGGTGACCATGTTGTATGGGGGAGTGGTTGCCTCTCTCAGCCTAACCCACCTCACAGGCTGCTGTGAGAATACAATGCATAAGGGGTGAGGCAGGGAGAGCTTGAGCAAGCCCTGGACCGCCTGTATGAAACAATAAGGAAACAGAAGTGCTTGGTTATAGAAGCTGACCTCCCTCCCAGGTAAAGTCGCAGGAGCCGATCTTTTATAAAACGAATGGAGCTTGAGCTGCAGGGCCCAGAATCCCGAAAGAGCCCCAGAAGCGACTTGAATCCACATTGCTTTTAAAAACTGGGTCCAGCTGACCCGATTTGAGTCACATGACTCAAATCCATTCATTTCGGGTGGTATCTATTTCGACAATCCCAAAGTTTGGGAGTCAGTAGCACAGATGTCGTAAAGGCGGTAAGTTGGCCATTCTGCCGAAGAGCGCTTAAATTCTTTCTGCATATTGTCTCCAGAAAATGACTTTGCAACTATCAGGAGGTGAAAAAGTAGCTCGAAAAAGTAGAAAAAAGAATGGTAGAATCATAGAATGGTGAAGTTGGAAGGGACCCGAGGGTCATCCAACCCAACCCCCACAAGGCAGGAACTTTTTGCCCAACGTGGGGCTTGAAAACTATAAGGCACTGGGCATTTTCATTCACCCCAGTGACTTGGGCGAGTGAGATAACCCAGAACTGCCATTTTAATCAAAATCTAAGACGTAGTAGTTAATTAAAAAAAATATGCAGCGATCTGTCGTGGAACAACCCCACTGAAGGAGGTCACAGCGGAGACCTCATTGCTTAAGGGCTCCTCCAGCCCAGTTCGAACTTCAGGGCCCCCCCCCCTAGGTCCGCCACGGCCCAGCGGGAGCCGCGGGCCATTGCAGCCCGCAGCCACTTCCTTCCGCTTTCTGGAGCCCGAGGATCTGCCGGAGGAAAGCTCAGACCCAGCCCCCTCCCCCTGCCCGGGAAGGCGATCCTCACCTGCTTATTCTGCCGCGGCTCGCTCACGCGGGAGCAGTCAGCTGTTTTCCCGGCAGCCCTCGCGGGAAGTCACTTCGTTTGCATAGCCACGCCCCCGAGAAAAACCTCAGCGCGTCCCCTAGCGAAGCAATACGCTCCTCCCCCGCTTGGGCGGCCACGCCTCCTGCTCGCAAATGCCAGGACTGGGTGGGTTCAATGGCGGACCTACGTTTTGGGGGGCACTGACTCCATCTGGCAACAAAGGTGTCAAATCCCTGAGGCCCTGGGTGCCCGATCACCCACAGATTTCGGTGCCAGGGCCATGCACGCTGCATGGCACTCACGGCCGCGGTTGAGCGCAGTGAAGGTATCTTTCTGGTGCTGTAGATTATTATTTCTGCGGTAAAGCTGTGAGAGACCCTCCTGTCAGTCAACCCGCCTTTCCATCCCTGCCAGTCAGCGGATGAATGAAGGACAGAGCTAATGCCCAGTCAATTGCCAGCCCAGCCAGCCTGGGATTCTGCAAGAGTTTTTAATTGCTGGTTTGTGATATGTAGCAGCAGCCCGGTCTTTCAACACATCCGACTCTGGTATTTGTTATTAACCTTCATGTTGTGCCTCAAGCAAAGCAGAAAGCAGGGAAATTAGAATGCTGATCAAGAACGAACACACATATATATCGAACAAAGCAACATAATAAAAATAATAGATCTACAAGTACAGTGATACCTTGGTTTACAACCATAATCTGTACTGGCGGTCCGGTTGTAAACCAAAACAGGTTGTAACCCAAGGTGCGCTTTCGCCAATGGGGCCTCCCCACCAAAAAAATTGGTTGTAATCCAAAAAAAAGGGACACACACTTGCGGGTTTGACGTGGTTGTAATCCAAAACGGTTGTAATCCAAAGCGGTTGCAAACCAAGGTAAGGTAAAGGTAAAGGGACCCCTGACCATTAGGTCCAGTCGTGGCCGACTCTGGGGTTGCGGCGCTCATCTCGCTTTATTGGCCAAGGGAGCTGGTGTACAGCTTCCGGGTCATGTGGCCAGCATGACTAAGACGCTTCTGGTGAACCAGAGCAGCGCACAGAAATGCCGTTTACCTTCCCACTGGAGCGGTACCTATTTATCTACTTGCACTTTGACGTGCTTTCGAACTGCTAGGTTGGCAGGAGCAGGGACTGAACAACGGGAGCTCACCTCGTCGCGGGGATTCGAATCACCAACCTTCTGATCAGCAAGTCCTAGGCTCTATGGTACCTCTGTACAAAAGCAGTATATCTGAAAGGAGAGGGGGAGAGAGGGAAGAACAAACATGGTATTTGGGAGCAGTTACCGTGCTCCTAACAATGTGTTAAAAGTTACTTCTTACTCTTCCCATCTCAAGGGAAGGATAGGGGTGGGGGGAGAAAGGAGGGGACCAATTCAGGGAGGAGAAGGCTTTCAATGGCTACTCGCTACAATGGCTATGCTCTGCTGGAAACTGCAGGAGGGGAGAATTGCTCCTGTGCTCAGGTCCTGCATCTGGCTGGCCACTGTGAGAACAGGATGCTGGACTTCATGTACCCCTCTGGACCTGATCCAGCAGCCAGGTTCATATTATGTTCCTAACAACTCATTAATTGGTTACAATCAGTAATAGGATGCTGGATTGGATAGGCGTTCGGACGGATCCAGCAGGGTTCACCACTAGCTACATGCAAGCCTATCCAGTGGTACCTTGGTTGACAAACTTAATCCATTCCAGGAGTCCGTCTGACTCCCGGAATGGTTTGAAACCAAGGCGCAGCTTCCGATTGGCTGCAGGAGCTTCCTGCACTCAATCGGAAGCCGCGGAAGCCATGTTGGACATTCGGCTTCCAAAAACGTTCACAAACTGGAACACCACTTCTGGGTTTACGACGTTTGCGAGTACCAAGGCATTTGACAACCGAGGTACGACTGTAGTGGGAGCATCCAGAATTCTGTTGGCTTGGTTTTCATAATGTGTAAACTGGCTCTTATCTTTAAGGCAGCACCCGAAATACAGTGGTACCTTGGGTTACAGATGCTTCAGGTTACAGACTCCGCTAACCCAGAAATATTACCTCGGGTTAATAACTTTGCTTCAGGATGAGAACAGAAATCGCACAGCGGTGGCATGGTGGCAGTGGGAGGCCACATGAGCTAAAGTGGTACCTCAGGTTAAGAACAGTTTCAAGTTAAGAATGGACCTCCAGAACAAATTGAGTTCTTAACCTGAGGTACCACTGTATTTATTTGTACAAGGGGGTTGGGATATACATAGATAATAAGTTTTGGTTGTAGCCAGCTAGCTGGAGATGATATTGTTTTCTTGATATTCTCCCGTGGTTAGTGGAATAAGCTGCTACACCAAGCAAAGATGGCCAAACCTACAAATTACTTGGTGGTGTGCAGATTTGCAACAGGATCTCCTTAAAAAGGTCCCCATTGCCAGAGAGATGGTCGGGGGTCTCTTTGCAGAGAGAGGGTGTTTCTGTGCCATAGGAAATGTGCTAGAGGCCAGGCTTCGTTGCCATCTGTCCCTGCCCTTGGTTTGGCAAAGCAGAGAAGGGGTGGAGGAGAATCAGCTGTTTTCCTGGCACTGACCCCCCACCAAGCTCTGCTGCTCAACAACTTGCAACTAAAAAACCCGCCTCAAAGCAGCCTCCAGGTTTCCTGGGCAACCTGCCGCCAGAGGCTGATCAAGTTGTCATCAATTGACTGCCATGGATTACACCCAGCTGGGGTATCAGACAACAGTCACCCCACTCCAGGAAAACACAAAGGATCAGTGGGATGCAATCCAGCCCACTTCTGGCACCATTATTCAGCAGCTGAAGGATGCCCACAACTCTGCCCTTCCCACTTACACATCACCAATTTGCATATATTTCACATGTGCTGATTAAACTTATGCAGAGACCGCGAGAGCCTTTGCAGCATCAGTTCTACGACACCACAGACTATAGTGCATTATTTCTGAAACTTGGGTTTCCAGCTGTATTCAGACTACAGTTCACATCATCCCTGACCACTGGTCTTGCTAGCTGGGGATGATGGGAGCTGTAGTCCAAAAACAGCTGGAGACCCAAGTTAGGGAACAAAAAATAAGACCCGGTTGCCAAGAATCCTGAAGAAGCAACAAGGTTTAGGCAAGGTCTGTTGTCAACAGTTGCCAGCCGCTGACTCTGTGTGTCAACAGGAGGGTTTGTGGCGTGACAAAGAGGAAACATTGACTTCCGTCACTTCCAGACCACCAACTTCTAGAGCAGCTCCCAACATCCTCAGCCTCAAATGACCATGCTGGCCTAGGGTGTGGTTGTTTGTTTATGATTGGCTGTGGTGACCTTTGTTTTTATGTGTAAGTGGGGTGGGTGTGTGTTTTGGAGCAGGTTAGCCATATTGATTTGTATGCTGTTGGTGGATTCTTGTCATTGTCTTGTTGGGCTGTGTATGTGATAAAGGGGAGCCATAAAGGCGTCTTCTTCTGTTTGTCCCCTTGTCAGTTTCAGTTTATTGGTTAATTTTTCTAGTAAGGCTGTTTCCCATACTATTTGGTACCATTGGTCCATGCTTACTCCTGACAGGTCTCTCCAGTCTTCTGGTTATGGTGTTTCAGGCTGCTGAAAGTAGGTGGTTTCTTTGAAGTGAATAGCAGAGAACCTGCATAAGCGACGCTGACACAAAACCCCACATATATTAAGTATAATAGAAACATCGCCACCCGACCCCATCCCCACTCACCTTTCCCGCCCGCCCCACCTCTTTCCCCCTCTTCTTCCTAATGTCTCAACAATTGAAAGTGATCTGTAAAAAATGTTACTTGGAAAAGAGAGAGAGAGAGACATTGCACATACTTTTGTAAACCAAGAAAATCTTTAATAAAAATACATTTTTAAAAAAATGACCATGCTGGCTGAGGCTGATGGGAGTTCTAGTCCAAAACAAGTGGAGGTCCCCAGGTTGGGGGAAGGCAGAAATAAACTTTTTCTCAAAAGATTGTCTGACACTGCTCAGTGAAGACCCCGTGTCCTTGAGCACTGAAACCACTGAAGAGGAAAGGAAGGGAGCCTCACTAAGAAGCTGATTCGCAGGAGTTGGCAAGCAGGACTGGCACTGAGCACACCCAGGAAGCAGGAGAAATGCCAACTGCAGGGAGTGACAGGCTCCCCTTTCTCTCCATGTTGCAGGAGTTTCGCTTCCAGGCAACTGACCCCTGAAGAGGCAATCCTGTGTCTGCTTCCCAGGGAAGGTGGCTCCTGGCTGTCCTAGCCAAAGGGGGAAATGGGGAGGCAACAGCTGCTGAATGAGGGGTGACAATTCATTTCCAAACCAATGAATATCCCGGAGACTGGCTCTTGTTCTGCTGGAGGCCCCCAGAGTAAGCCATCTTGCCCAGCACAATGCCAAGAGTTGCGTGGCAGATAATGCTTCTTCCTCCTTGGAGGGTCTGAAAGGGAAATCTGCGTTTTGAAAGTTCAATGCGTTTTGTTGCTGCCGTAGGGAGGGAATGCAGAGACACCCCACACTCGCCCCCCTCTGGAGTCAGCTCCAGAGCAGAGGCCTGCTTGGAGCCAAGCCCAGTCCTGTTGGGTTCTCCCGGCTAGCACCGCACACTTCAGACTTGCTAATTGATTCTGCTGCCATAAAGAGCCTCTGCCTCTCCATTGATTGGCCTGGAAAAAAAGATCTGACTTTCAAGGCCAAGCAATAAAAGGAATAATAGAGCAGTTAATATTTTATTCCGGCAATAAACACAGAAATACCATGCCGAATCCCCTTTTGCCCTCCCGGGCTGGACTGCAAAGGCAGAACATAATAAATGGCGACATGCTGCATGCTGGCTGTGCCAGGGGCAGGCACTAAAGAAGAGCCTTCCGTTTGTCATGCCATGCCCGGTCAAGAGCCCACCCTCCAACATTTCTCCAATGAAAATAGGGACATCCTATTATTATTATTATTATTATTATTATTATTATTATTATTATTACTTTATTATCTGATTGGATTGCCCCAGTCACTCTAGGTGGCTTCCAATACACACACACACACACACACACA